GAGAGGGAGAGAGAGAGGTGGGTGACGTTTTACCGGGAGGGAGGGGCTTATGAATCCAATTCATTCCGGGCACCACGTGTCCTCAGAGCGTGGGAAAGAGGCGAGCTTTTCTTCCCAGCAAAGAAAGAGCAAGGATCAAATAACACGGTGCTGCAGCAGAAATCTCGCGCTCTGCACAGAGGCAGGGGCTGCGACCACCCGGACAAGGACGGGACCGGGCGCACACTGAGGGGCTTAGTGGGGAGTTTGGGTTTCTGCTTCATTCATAGCAATAAAAATACTCATGAGGAGCTTAATGTTACTGTAGTTGTTACACGGTCTGCTTCAAAAAATGAACATGCATGGCAACATGCCAACATGTCTCTGCCCTCCTGGATGCATGTTTAAGCTAAAAAAAAAAGGGGGTGGTGATAAATATGACTACATTATTATAGTCAACTAAAACCAGAGGCGTCTTTTTCAACCCTCATTTTGTGGAGCTATTTTCCCTGTGGATGAGAATCAGACAGCTTGATTTCACCACCTTTTTTCTGCAGGCTGGATCAGTCACGCATCCGGGTTATCACCAAGCTTTTTCTCACACCTGACAGTCGGACGTGAGATCACTTGAAACTGGAAGAGCTGGAAATCTGTTTTCGTTACGCAAATTCCTGCTTGAACAAGGATTTTACAAAAAGAGTGACTGCTCATTTTCATAGTGGCTTCAGCAGTGCCTGCAGTCAAATACCATCATGATCAGTTATTCCAATGATGCAATAATGTCACTTTTCAGTACTGTGCATTTTGGGTTTGTATAGATATACAAATCATCAATACTTGTGACAAAAGCCTTTAACTGCTACCTGCCCTCCAACTTGCTTTGTCTTTAAGATATTGAATATATCATGAAGATCATACAGTGTGGTTCCTTGCACCTTACAGCCCAAATCTACAGTTATTCAAATTCATAACAGGAACAAAATAATCCACTCTGATTGCCAGGCAAACCATCAGTGAACCATTCCATCATATTAACAACTTTATCACATTTTAGCGTAAAATAACGCAAATGGTTTGTTATCATCCATCCATCAATCAAGCTTATCCTTTGAGGGTAGCAGGAGGGCTGCAGCCAACCACAGCTAACACAAGATATGACATAATTGGTCAAATAAACAAACTCAACAAATATCCTTAAAACATTCAAGCTTAAGGATTGTAATTAAAACCTCTCATTTCATCACAGGATGCTGCGCTTGAGAAAATAGGTCACAAATCCTGTCTGAGACACGACTAAGCCGCATGATCTTTGTCCGAGACACTTTCTTGTCGGAGTGACGGCCAATAGATTTTCACTTAGGTTCACATCCAGAGCACAAGAGCTCACCCATCACTCACAACAATGAGCAGTGAAGTTCACGTTCACAGCTACAGACGCCCACTTTTGTATGATCGTTCTTAACAAGTGACAATAAGTATAATGTCCGTACAGATAACTGCATTATGGAGGGTGTCACATTACCTGTTTCAACAAAAAGCTCAACGGCCCCCCTCCTCCATTTTCTGCTTGAGGTTATTCAACTGGTCCTGTTGACTCGAATCTGTAGCTTCAATGTGGCAACTTTTCCCTCCTTAAAGATAAAAATGTTATGCAATGTTTTTAAAAAGGCTTCAAGATTAGACAAAAGAAGATGTTTTTATCATCCTGTGATTCAAATGTGTGACTTCCCACTGCAGCTGCTGTGCTTCAAACGCAGTCAGGGAAAACACACTTACATCAGTGATTCACAGTATGACCTGTCTCTGGAAACGGCTGTGGCTTTTTTGATGCAAGTTAAGTGATCAATAAAATAAACTGCACATCTGGCTTTGGTTAGAGCTTCTTTTATGAGTGTAAAAAGATTCAAACTCAGCCTTCTGCTGGAGTTTCGACAAAACGCCGGAAAATCTTTAATTGTAGAATTTTCCACTCAAGATGTCTTAAAACCCTTTTGGGCAATCGCATTTTCCTGCGATTACACAAAATCCAACATGGGATTTGTGAACATAGGAGAGGGGAGCATGAGAAAATATGAATGGTTTCAGGTGGAGTATGTGTTGGGTTTCTCTGTGACCTATCAGCTCGAGAGAGGATTTTGTTTACAGCAACCCAACACCGTTGTCAGCTCTTATCACCACAAACTCTCTTGACACATTCGTCAGTGTCTTCCAGTTTCTCAGATAATACCAATACCTTTATAGTAACTCCTCACAGATTGATCATTTAAATGAAAACTCTTGTTTATTAACACATACTTAGTTTACACCTAAATAATAAAAAAATATATACAAATGTTATAATAGAGAATGAACGTGTACAGTACCAGACTGCTAAATATGCAGAAGAACTGAGTCCTGGCATTATTTAGCTTTACAGTCAAAACAATTTCATTAAAAAGAATGTAATTGACACTCTTGTTCGGAACAAACTTAAAACATTATAAACTGTAAAAACTTTATGTGCTTTCAAATTTTGAAGATTAAATAACCTGAAGAGCATTTTTTGAAAGATTAATGTATAAACAGAAATTATCTCAATCTGATTCAAACCGTGAATCACAATGAATGTGCCAGGTTACAATAATGAAGACAATAAATAAGAAAACTCAAAATGCGATCATGACCCATCTTTGGATCACTGAAATTAAAAACACCACCGTTTGCAATGTGCACATTAATATATACACTATAGAAAAGCAGCTGGGGATGACAAAAGATATGTAAAATAACCGTAAAAGTAAATAATAACAATGATTAACCTTTCATTTCTTTGTATGACTGTCAGGCTTTAGTTCCAGATGAGTCATTTAATTCAACATTTCAGTCAATACCTGACTATAACGTTGCATTAAATGTTCTTTAAAGAGCAAGTGTGTGGGTGTTAATTCTTCTTCGGGCGTGTCTGCTCTGCCTACGCACCTATCATACGGAACATTCAGGTGTGGAAGAGATTTTTTACTGCAGCAGTACCTGATGGGTAAGAGGAGGTACGACTTCTGAGGGCAGTCAGCTGATTCAGGTGTAGAAAAGAAATATTTGAACTCACCTTTTCTCTAAGCGACACAAATCTAAAGATGCATTTGAAACATCGGTGTTAATCTGTTGTCTTTATGCCTCCTTTATTATTATGATATCAAGTAAATTAAGAACTACAATTATCAGAACCAAAGTAAGAGGCAACTGAATTGGTTGTATGTGTATGATGTGTATGATTCTGGATGTGTTTTTGGTTTGGTAAACTGCATGGGCTCTGTATCAGTCAGCTCAGGTGTGCTGCTGCAACTGAATCAGTGTCCTCAGCTGTTACATGTAAGACCTCCTGAAACATGGAGAGGACGCGGCCGAAGTGAGAGCCTTCCCAGAACACCTTGCCACATCTGGTGCAGACATAGAAGAGTGGTATTCTCGGCAGGAGGGCAGGGGGCACGGTATGGAGCTGTATGGGTGCCCCCCCGGGAAAGGTCAGGGTGTCGGGGTCCAGCCCTGAGAGGGGGGCCCAACGACACTGAAGAGCATACCTGGGGAGTTCAGGGGTCATGCAAGGGGTCAAGATGTCACCAAGCTTCTTGTCTTCCTGTTGACGGGACGTCTGTTGTGTGTGTTCAGTGTCCACCTGGTCCTGCAGAAATCCTGCAGGCAAAACATGACAATTAAGTGACTTCTTGAAAATGGAGTGAGACGGACACGCTGACAGCTGGGGCATGTAGATATGTCCTCATGTATTCTGTACTGTAACATCTGGAGCCCAGTAAAAATAAAGCCCTTCCCAAATTACTGAGAGAGTTGAGGTGTCACTGACCTTTCTGTTTAAGCATCCTGACCATGTCTTCTCTGGGCACTGCCACATATTGATCACTGTTACACGCCTGGACAAAGAGAAGAAAACATTAGAAGCAAGGTTAAAAGAAATGAGCTTCCATTCCACAAAAGAGGCTTGAAGAAAAGTTGGTATTTAGGAATTTCCCCTATAATGTAGTTACATGGTTTGTAAATAATTACTGGGACGTGTGCAGGTTTGTGTTCTACTAGGCAAAAACAAACACATTCAAATAAAGTTGTGTCATGATTTGTAATTCTAGCATTATCAACTAGCTCCATTGCTAAGAAAATGTCAAAAGTAGTGTTGAGGTGGTAAACCCCCTCGAAAAATCAAATCAAATCAGTAAAACCTTTATTTTGTAATTTGGAGAGAACATGTGAAAGTAAGTTGTAATAAAAGAAGTGAGTCAAAGCTTTAGTACACAAAGTCCTTTGGCACATTTCAAATTCAAATTCCCTATTGTTGAAAAAAGTACTATTATTCAAAATGTGGTATGATCATCTTCGAATGAACGGGAGAAGAACTGGACGCCAACTTATTAGATACAGTGTCATCTAAACCTATTACCAGAACACATTATATGATGGAGTCCGATGTAGATAATCGATATATAGACTATCGATTATGAAATATTTAGTATGATCACTTCAGTCATTGGTTACTTTCACACTAGATTGTGGCTCAAGCCGTAATTTTCAGTCGGAATCCAACCATGGCAGAGAGACAGCTAACAGAGCCAGCCCCGAACCAGACAGGCATTCTGTTTTTTATGACCAAACCGAAACCAAGCCAGAGAAACGAAAGCCCGGCCAACATGTCCAAACTCGAATATTAATTCAAACTGTTTCTCCCGGGTACCCACGCTCTATTTTATACATCCAATCACACAATTTACATGCCAGTAAAAGCCATAGCAGGCAAACGTTCTGTTCAAGTCAAAAAGTGTTGGACTTGTGTAAAGCCCTGGTCTAAAGCAGGACCTGACACATGTTGATCCGTTCAGACTGATGGCAGACAGACATTTTTCCCTGGTTGTTGCTTCGGTGTCAAGGGGCCTAAGTGTTACAGGAAGATCAGATCAGTGTGTGAGTGTGTGTGTAGAGACAGCATTTACGCCTCAGTAACTTTCACATGTGCATGCCGTCCTATCCTTCTCCACAGTAAAAGGTCTCCTTGGTGGGACATTAGTGACCTCTTGTTTGCCGGCCCCTAACATGCAAACACACACTCGTCTGTAAGCCATCCTGACAGCATGTCAGTGCTAAAAGCCTTGTCAACACACCTGAGCTCCACCCAGCAAACAGCATTCCACTTAGAGGTGGGCTGTAAATCAGACCGGGCTCGCAGACCTCACAAAAGCTTTGAGCTCACCTAAAGCCAGTTTGTCTCTTTATCCAGAAAATGTTTAATGAAGACTGCGGATGGGGAGCATACACCCAGTGACCCACCCAGCGCAAAATTATATTGTCTCCTCTGTGTGCACATGCAGAGCAGTGTTTGCCTCTGTGGCGACTGAGGTCAGGACTGGAGAAAGCTGCTAGACAGTGGAGGTGTGGGAATAGCAGAGGTGTCATCTCCTGTCTTGTCTGTGGGAATGAAGCTCATCTGTCCCTCAGTACATTCTGTATTCTCCTCTTTGTATCTGAACTTAATCTCTCTCACACACACAGTTAACATGCATACACACACACACACACACATACACACACACACACAATTCACAGACAAAACACTGTAAAATTCACACAGGTTACACTGCAGTGCACATAAACCACATGCTTGCAAATGCTCACAGCGCATACACATGGCTCACACATACGAGTGTGTGGCTGCAGCCAGGAAAACAGACCCAGCTATTTGCTCAGCTCAAAGTTTCCCAGAGTTGAGCAAGCCAGAACCTGCTCTGAACTCTCAAGTCACGGACAGGCAGGCACACATGCACACGGCCTCGCACACACGCAACATGGATGTAAATATTTCTATCTGCAATTAATCAAAACGCGGGGAGTTAGATGTGCAGAGAAATACACTGCACAACTGAAACTGAATAAATGAGAGTATGGGAAATGTCTCAGTGACATAACACAGGTCAGAATGACATGAACATATTTACAGATAAAACATATTTGAGGACACACACACACTGGTTCAATGCATTAATGGATGTGACAAAATGAGCCTTGTGGTGAAGAATTATATTTGAATGAATACAGATGGTCATTCTGTGCCTTCATTGAAAACTGGAAACTGTGTTGGACCAGATGATTTGGGGGAAAATATTGTGTATGTGATCATAATGAGGACGAGCATGTGGCTTCAGTCACCGTAATCTGTGCAGGACGGTCAGCTGGACTAACCTGCGATCGGTAAGCACGGCCATGTTACTGATTGTGTTTTAGGAATGTTCTTGAAGTGCATTTCCCCTCTGACTGCAACTCGTAATCGTCTCCTCACTGAACAACATATTTCGTTCCAAAAGCTTTAAGGTGGTATTTTTCTTGTAATATAACTGCACAGAAAAGCCTTAAGATCAAAATTCCACCAAATTAAACATAAGAAAAAATCATTTAATTTTAATTCAACCCTACATACATTTCAGGCAGTTGCTACATGGATTTATTTCCTTACTCTGTCTGCCCTTTGTTCCCTCTCTGTGTTTTTCAGGGAACCTCCTGCATTCTCACACTCCGTGTGGCCGAGCCAGAGAAAGAATGCTACTTGCCGTGACAACAAAGGCTATCTAAAGTGTGATACTGTGTTTCAAAGGATGGGAGGTGGTGGAAAAAAGAGGAGAGACAGGGGGATAGTGGAGAGGAGGTAGGAAAGAGAGGGGGGGAGGGNAGGTCACATGGTTAGAGCAGCCAATTGGGCACTGGTGATTTGATTCAAATTGTGGTAAGTCAGGTAAGGGGCAGCGTGGGAACAGAGAAGAAGAGACTTTTCCCTAATGTGCTCAAACACACACACACGCACACACACAGTGCATTTGCCCTGTAGGCAGCTCCCATGGGAAAATGTTTTAGGGCCGATGTAGGTCACATGGTTAGAGCAGCCAATTGGGCACTGGTGATTTGATTCAAATTGTGGTAAGTCAGGTAAGGGGCAGCGTGGGAACAGAGAAGAAGAGCAAGAGCTGTGTCGTCGTTACCCTTGAAATTCTTGTCTTTTCCCACTCGACATGAATACCAACTCCAAGTAAAGGTTGCAGATACTTAATTCTAATGTCTAAAAAGGCTGTGGTCTAAAACATATACACAGTATATATAAAAAGTAATGACAGTATCCCTTCCAATGACAGAAAAATTAAATGCACAACTGTAGAGATTCATTGTTTTGCTCCCATCATTCCATGTCTGGGATGTTGTGCTGTCTCTTGCTTCCCTGTCATTCTGTTGGGCACATATAACATTTTTCGTTGCTGGTGTGAAATAATGTAGGTCTGAATCCAATGTAAATGTTTTTTGGGTGAGACAGGAGGAAGGAGAAGGGACTGGGAACGTTTTACTTTTAACGCTCTCCCACTGAGGGAAACACATGATTTCAATGTCAATCACATTCACATGAGAGGATTTTATGTTAATGGTGTAAAAAACAAGCCTGAATACGATTAGTTGGTCCAAAGAGGTGAGTCACAAAATCTTATTTTTTGACTGAATGATCATTGCTCCTAATTAATATCATAGTTTCTGAACAATACAAATAAATCGCAAACTATGTCTTTTACTTTGCAAGTGTTCCTTTACTCAATAACTTTTAGTATTTCTTAATGTTGGTGTGAGACTTTGAAATTAATCATTTAAGCTTGTACAGCTGCTTTCAGATTTGCACTGAGCTCCGCAGAACCTCCATATTTTCTCCGGAGGAGGTGCTTGCCCCCCTAGTATAAAGTTTGTAGAAAGTCAGGAGAATCCGATATGAGGACACAGCAGTGGATCCCTTAAATGCATTAAGTCAATGAATGATGAGCAGAGCACTACTTCAATGTGCAGGTAAAGGTTTTTATTATATTACTATTGAGCTTGTACTTGCATGGAGAATGCGCTGCAGCTTATTAGCGCATTTTTTAATTTTTCACTCGATTCTTTTGAAAATAAAATCATTCCTGTAAATAAGGTATAAAATACCTTGAATAGGGGTCAACTCTCTGCTGCAGCAGGATCAACCATGAGAGAAACGCTGCTTTGACCCAGTAAATGTACTTTCCCACAGTATCCTTAGGGTGTCTGGCCAGTGTCTCAGCCCACAGTCTGAGGTAATTATGAACTGTGTTAACTAACCACTACCACCTGACAGCAACCTGAACTTGGACCACAGCTGAGCCTGTCTGGGCTTGACATCACACACACCTTCCTCTGACTCACCCTCACACGCATACATGCACAAACACACACACATACCACAAAAGGCATGGAGAAGATGTAAAAACTCACATGTAACTTTCTCACTCACCCTGTGCCTGACTCATGTTGCACCCACTAATTTTACCTGCATGAAACACAAACTACAGTAGTCATATAATTTCCTTTCCTGATTTTCCAGTGGAAATAAATCATCCAGTTGTGTTTTGAAAGTGAAAGCTTTCTGGCGAGTGCAGGTTTGCACAGATACTGTTCCTGTACTGTGTAGGAAAGCAATGGGGATGTTGGCGTGCGTGAAGAAGATATTACAAAACCAGAAACCTTTTGGAAAATCAAATACAGACCCGACGATGTAAGACGGAAAATCATTAAAATTCATATATTTTTTCAAACATCATGTACATTTGAAGACACTGTTATACTTTAACAGCACCTTTTTCTTTATATGTTTTATTTTAAAAGGTGCTACATTTATTTATGTTTATCAAAGCCATTGTGCTTTTTTTTTTTAGCAACAAACTCCTCAGATATAAAAGAGTGTTTTATTTGCTTCACAATATGTAAAGAAACGTTTCTAATTTCATGCATCACGTGCTTCCTCGCTCTCTTTCTCTTTAACTCTTGCTCAAGCTCTCTTTGTTTCTTCCTCTTGTCAACTCTGATTTCCACTTTTCGACCGTTTTCTCAC